AAAATAAAATAAAATAAAATAAAAAATAAAACGCTTATTACCACCTGTCAAATTATATATGTAGTCATTTATTTGTTTATTGTCTAGCTGTCTCCTACTAGAACACAGGCTCTACTGGGGACTTTGTTTTGCTCATGGCTGTGTCCCCAGACCCTGGAACAGTGCCTGGCATACAGCAGACATCTGATGAATACTTGCTGAATGAGTGAATGAATGAGTACATAAATTAATGAAATCCTACAGCAGAGACCAACATCAAAGGAGACATCTAGGACCCTCCGTAGATCACTAGGACAGATCCAGCCCTCTGCTCAGGGGCTCCTGCATGCAGAAAGCAGGTCTCCTCACACCCCATTACCTCGATGTGATGGAGCTCCTGACGGAAGCTTTTCATTACATTCTTCACTTGTTCCTCCATCCTCTCCAGAAGCAGGCAGATGTCATCTGACTGTTTCTTCAAATCCTTCACATACTGGTCATCCTTTGTTTTTAACTCCTAGAAAAGAGCATGTAAAAGGTTTGCCACAAAATGAGACAGAAGAGGTGCCAAGCATGTTCCCCCTGGACCCCCCTCATCAGAATCTGTAAACATTAGGAATTAAAACTGTACAAAGAGGGCCGGCCCGGTGGCGCACTGCTGCTACAGTGTGCCGCTTGGGAGCGCGGTGGCGCTCCCGCCGAGGGTTCGGATCCCACATACAGACCCGTTCCCGCTCACTGGCTGAGCGAGGTGCGGGCACGACACGGAGGGTTGCGATCCATTGCCGGACACGAAAAAAGACAAAAAAAAAAGGAAAAAAAAAACTGTACAAAGAGAAAGTGGCTTCAGAAGAGTCTGAGAAGGCCCAGGAAAAAGCACAAGTAGATGGAATAGGATAGCCTCAGCTCAGGGCAAAAATCTGAACAAGTGCACAGGATCAAACTCCTCAATTATCACTTGCTGCAAATCTCCCTGCAAGCTCCCAGAAATCCTAAAGTGTCCTAGCTGAGCAATTAATGTCCAGGTTCCAACATGGGAACATATCTATTGCAGACTAAGTTCCATTCCTTAACTAAAAACATAAAATCTGAAATGGCATTTGCTGTAAAAGTACATCTTTCTATTAGGTAGCCAATAGATCTAAAATTACTACAAAGCTTTTCCTTCTGGTTAAAAGTTTATGACTTGAAAAGCCATCCAAAATGGAAAAGAAGAGTTAAAATATCTCTGTTCACAGATGACATGATCTTATATGTAGAAAACCTAAAGACTCCACCAAAAAAAAAAAAAACTGTTAGAACTAAAAGACAAATTCAGCTAAGTGGCAGGGCACAAAATCGACACTCAAAAATCAGTTCCATTCCTTTATACTAATAATGACCAATCCAAAAAGAAAATTAAGAAAATAATACTACTTACTATAGCACCAAAAGGGATAAAATACTTACGAATAGACTTGACCAAGGAAGCAAAAGACTTGTATGCTGAAAACTATAAAATATTGCTAAAAGAAATCAAAGATATAAACAAGTGGAAAGACATCCTATGCTCAAGGATTGGAACTCAATATCATTAAAATGTCCATACTATCCAAAGTGATCTACAGATTCAATGCAATTCTTATCAAAACCCCAATGTCATTTTTTTTTCAGAAATAGAAAAGGCTATCCTAAAATTTGTATCTCAAGGGACCCCAAATCACCAAAACAATCTTGAGAAAGAAGAACAAAGTTGGAGGCCTCATAGTCCTTAATTTCAAAACATACTACAACACAGCAACAATTAAGATTAGGTTGGTACTGACGTACTGGTAGATAGATAGATCAAAGGAACAGAACAGACAGCCCAGAGATAAATCCTGAATATATGGCCAAATGAGTTTTGACAAGACTATACACAGGGGAAGGACAATCTCTTCAACACATGGTATTGGGAAAACTGGATATTCACACACAAAAGAATAATGTTAGACTCTTACCTTATATCATATACAAAAATTAACTCAAAATGGTTAAAACCTAAATGTAAAACCTAAAACTATTCAACTCCTAGAAGAAAACATAGGGGAAAAATTTTAGGAAATTGGATTTAGCAATGATTTCTTGGATATGATGCCAAAAGCACAGGCAACAAAATCAAAAATAGACAAATGAGACTCCACCAAACTCAAAAGCTTTTACACATCAAGAGAAACAATCAACAGAGTAGAAAGACAACATATGGAAGGGGAGAATATAATTGGAAATCATGTATCTGATAAGGGATTATTATCGAAAATGTATAAGGAAGTTCTACAACTCAACAACAAAAAACCAAATAACCCAACTTAAAAACGGACGAAGGATTTGTATAGACATTGCTCCAAAGAAGACACACAAATGACCAATAAGTACACGAAAAAGATGCGCAACATCTCTAAACATTAGGGAAATGCAAATCAAAACCACAGTGAGATGTCACCTCACACCCATAAATATGGCCACTATCAAGAGAACAGGATCTAATCAGCGCTGGCAAGGAGGTGGAGAAGTTAGAAGCTTTGCGTACTGTTGGTGGGAACGCAAACTAGTGCAGCCATTATGGAAAACAGCATAGAGTTTCCTAAAAAAGTTAAATAAAGAATTACCAGATGATCCAGCAATCCCACTTTTAGATATAAATCCAGAGGAATTCAAAGTAGGATCTCAAAGAGACATGTGTATACCCATGTTCATAGCAGCATTATTCACAATAGCCAAGAGGTGAAAGCAAGCCAGATGTCCATCCACAGAAGAATGGACAAAGAAAATGTGCTATGAGACATGTGTATACCCATGTTCATAGCAGCATTATTCACAATAGCCAAGAGGTGAAAGCAACCCAGATGACCATCCACAGAAGAATGGACAAAGAAAATGTGCTACATACATACAGTGGACATTATGCAGCCTTAAAAAAGAAGGAATTCCTGTCACATGCAACAACATGAATGAACCTCAAGGACATTTTATGCTAAGTGAAATAAGCCAGTCATCAAAGGACAAATACATGATTCCACTTGTATGAAACCACTATCTAAAACAGTCAAAATCATAAAAACAGAAAGGAGAAAGGTGGTTTGCCAAGGGCTGGGAGACGGGGAGAGAAGGAATTAGTGTCTAATGGGTATAGAGTTTCAGTGTTGCAAGATTAAAAAATTCTATAGCACCCATCTGAATATACTTAACACTACTAAACTGTACACTTAAAAATGGTTAAGATGGTAAATTTCATGTTATGTGTTTATTACTGTAATAAAAAAATAAAGAAAAAAAGTTTATCACTTGAGCTGTGCAGCATTCTAAGTAAAGAAAGTAAGGCCTCCCCATTTTTCCACTCAGAAAAAGCAAACCAATAACCCAGTTAAATGCCCCCTGCAGACCCCACGTGGCTGAGACGGGGTGGCCGGGGCCTCTTGCCTGCTGTAACTCGCTGATAAGCTTGTTTTTGTCTTCTATCAGCCCAGCACAGTGCAGCTGCTGAGTGTTGAGCACGTCCCACAGGTCCTGGGGAATACTCTTCTGTTTGCCCTCCTCCCACTTTGCAGTGATTTCATCAAATTTGTCCTGGCTGGTCTTAACCTCATTCTCCAGTTTCTCAATTCTGCAAACACAAACATGCCAGCCGTGTCAGCCCAGCTCCAGATGCCACCTTCCAATAGAGCAGGCAGGTTCTCTAGAGTCTATAATATGGGGCTCAGGCACTGGCACTGAAACACCATCCAAAACCAAAACAAACTCTGAGAAATCTTCTTTTAGTTTAATACTGGACTGTGGTAACTTAGACCAAATAAACAAAGTGACACATAATAAAAACAGATCAACATTAAGGCTATACATATGTACGTATATACATACACATACGCACATATATGACAAGAGTCAATTGGTCACATACTTCTGAGTTAGATAGTGACAACCATAAACACTTGGTCACTAGAGTCACACAGCTTGTGTTCAAGTCCTGACTTTGCTACTGACTCTCAAGCTTAGACAAGCTGCTTAATCTCTGCAAGCCTCATTTTTCTCATCTGTAAAATGGAAAGGATCAAAGTATCTACCTTCATACATCTCTTGTCAGCATTAAATAAGATGATACGCAGCACAGGTACCCAGCATGATAGTCACTTAACAGATGGTATTTAAATTATTAATTTTTATTAGCAACATGACCTCAAGTGTCTGGCCATTCCTCTCCCAAGTTACCAATAAATGACCAGTGGAATGTACAAATAGAGAAACTCCACCATTAGTAATGGAAAATAGGGATGATCTTTCCAGAAATTCCAAAGAAACTCTGTGATAGAGTATGCTGAGGATTGGATTGGATGGAAGGAAGGCATAAGAGACAAGATGAGAGGTCCCTTCTGCAAAAAATGGTTAGAACATATGCCAGAGACCCTCTCCTAATTTTAACAGATTAATTTTATGAGATTGTCTCCAAACAAGAGCACAAACCCCCGTAAGGACAAGAGTCACAACTTAACATCTTGTGATCCTGTCTCTCTTTCCCTTTTCCATCCTCTGCCCCACCTTCCAAGCTAGGGCACTTAGCACATATTATAATTTAATTGACCTTTTTATTTCAAGCAATGAGAATTCCAGGTCATGTTTCCAAAACTCACATTTATCTTATAACTCTGCCACTTAAGACCTTCAATTTCTCTTCAGTGGCTGTAGGATGAAGTCTAGCTCACTAGCACGGCATTCAGGGCCTTTCACTAGCTGACCCTGCTGGGGACCAGCCAATTCAGTTTCTGGCACAGACCATAAGAGGCAGTGGGAAATTTCAAAAATAAAGTCACCGATTATATACTGGTAGACCTGGTAAAGTTGCTTATGGGGGAACTACTTGTGCTGAACAACTACAGATGTTAAAATCATACTGTGTATATATATATATATATGGTGAGATGAACTAAAATGGTCAAGTGTTTCCTCTTCTAATTGAACTAGGGAACTACTTGTGCTGAACAACTACAGATGTTAAAATCATACTGTGTATATATATATATATGGTGAGATGAACTAAAATGGTCAAGTGTTTCCTCTTCTAATTGAACTGTATTTAAGGAATCAGTTGAAGAACAATCCAAAGTAGAAGTTAAAATGAGTACCATTGTTCCTGCTCTCAGTCCACTTCTGTATGCAGAACTAAGCAGCTTCTGCCCCCGTGTTGGGCAGCCTGACACCTGGGGAGATGGGCGTGCAAAGCAATCTGCTTTCTGAGGCCTGGAGCCAAGGGTTTGGCACGGGTTCTTGTGTGTGTACCCCAGTTGGCGAAGGACGGGAGTATATTAAAAATACTTGGTACTACATTGAAAATCAAGACAAAGAAAAATGGGGTTGAAATGTACACATAATACCTGTATCCACCCATCCCCTCCTCCTCACCTGGGTGATTCCTAATTGCTTTTCCCAGGTGAGCCTCTTTCCCAGTACTCCTGCCGTATTGCAGGAATTTTTCCTTCAATCTCTTGAAAACCTAGCCTTCATCTTGTGAAAAGGACTCCTTGACATTAATGGAATAATTCCTACATCCTTTCATGCCAACTATGGTAGGCTGAGCAAGAGCCCCCAAAAACGTTCACATTGTAATTCCTGGAACCTGTAAATGTTACCTTACATGGCAAACAGAAATTCTGCAGATATAATTAGGTTAAGGATCTTGATATGGGGGGATTGTCTGGGACTATCTGTGTGGGCTCTAAATGTAATCACAGTGTCCACACAGGGAGATTTGACTACAGAAGAGCAGAAGGCACCGTGATAAGAGAAGCTGGGACTGGAGAGCTGCATTCTGAAGATGTAGGAAGGGGCCACAAGCCAAGGAATTTGTTATTTAAAGAAATCCTTTAGGGCCGGCCCGGTGGCACACTGGAGAGTGCTCCGCTTGGGAGCGCAGTGACGCTCCCACCGAGGGTTCGGATCCCATATAGAGACCAGTCCGCTCACTGGTTGAGCGCAGTGCGGGCGTGACACCGAGGGTTGCGATCCTGTTACCAGTCACGAAAAAAGACAAAAAAGGAAAAAAAAAAAAAAAGAAAGAAACATTTTGCATAACTGTCTACAGCTCTTCTTGCCATTCAAGCAGGAATCAATAGCTATTTTAAGATTTTTAAGACTAGCATTTATTCAGCTACGCATTTCTATCAGGACATTTTGTGATGGAATGTTCTAGATTACAGTTTAATAGCATTCTGCAACTCTCAGTGTAACTTAACTAAGTGCTTTGGAACGTATAAACTCTCCAACTTTCAAATTATTTTAGAACTAAGAACCTATAAATACCTCCGTACCAAGGAGTCACTGAAATGACGAAAGATTCCATTTCATTTCCCTACTCTATGGAAATTTTGAAATGTAGTTTCAATGAATGCAGAACAGAGCCTTAACTCAGATATCCAGGACACTTCAGATTTTTTTTTAAATGCCTGCAGCATTACCACTTGTAGCAAATGGTCTCACGTGCATAAGGGAAATAATGACTTTCCTGCAGTTTAAAGCAACTTTCTATTTTCTGCTCAGACAATGCGAACATCAGAAATTTCTGAACCAAGAATTTAAGACTCAAAGTAAAATGAAAAATCAAAATGTTATACTCACCCACAGATCAACAGACACACACACCCCTAACATTTATGAGATCCTGGGGAAGAGTTTAAATGGAGGTTCACATACCATATGTCTAAATGTTTAAAAATTACAATACCATACCATATAAAAACTGTTAAAGCATACTCTATCCTCATACCTGGGATACCTTCATAACAATTTACAAGTCCCAGTTTGAATTCAGACCTTTGAGTTCCACTCAGAGCTGGGTGGCTAAGGCAGAGGCAGCTTCTGGCCCCCAGCCTGCAGACCATCCCCCGTTCTGTCCTGCAGGCATGTGGATTTCCCAAACTGCACATCCAAGCTCTATGTACACTCCTTAGCCATCCATCAGGCTTAGGGGTTGCACAACACTGGCCTTTTCTGCCCTGAGCAGGACAGACCTTGGAAAGAGGACCATGCAGGCCTTGAAGGTGGGCTCACAACCATTTGGGCAGGGAATTTTGGTTTTCATGATACTCAGTGATCTAAAAGAGGAATTTGAGGGCCGAGCCCATGGCGCACTCGGGAGAGTGCGGCGCTGGGAGCGCAGCAGCGCTCCCACCGCAGGTTCAGGTCCTATATAGGGATGACCGGTGCGCTCACTGGCTGAGCGCAGTGCGGCCGGTCTCAAAAATGACAAAAAATAAATAAATAAATAAAAAATAAAAGAGGAATTTGAGCACGGGATGGGCTTGGGGCAAGTCCCCCTGAAGGGGTGCATCCAGAGGAGGGCCAGACCAGGTCACAGGCCCCCATTATCACCACTTCTATTCAATGGGCTGGAGGACCTATCTAAATGCAATAAGGCAAGAAGAAGAAATAAAAGGTATAAAAATTGAACAGGAAGAAATAAAACTGTCATTATTTTCAGATGATATAATTATATATGTAAACTATTAGCATGAACAAGTGAATTTGGCAAGGTCACTGAATACCAGGTCAATATATTAAAAACCAACTATACTTTTATATACCAACAGTGAATGATATAACCTCAACAAACTGCATGAAACATTGCTGAGCAAAATTTAAAAATACCTAAATAAATGGAAGGATATTTTATGCTCATAGATTATAAATTAAATTCAATTTCAATTAAAATTCCAGCAGGTTTTTTTGGTAGGAATTGACAAGCTGACTCTAAAATTTACATGAAAATGCAAAGGGTCAAGAATAGCCAACAACCTAGAAGAAGAACAAATTTGGAGGGCTTACCTTACCACATATCAAGGCCTGTCACAAAGCTACGGGAATTAAAACAGTGTGGAATTGGTATAAGGACCGACAAATACACCAATGGAACAGAACAGAAAAGCTAGAAACAAACTCACACATACAAGGGGTCTTCAAAAAGTTCAAGGAAAGGTTAATATTATCTTTTAATTCCATTTTCCACAAACTTTTTGAAGTAACCTTGTGTATAATCACCTGATTCACAACAAAGGTACCCTGCAATGCAGTGGGAAAAGAATGATCTTTTTGATAAATGATGTTGGGTCAATTAAAAATCTATATAGAAAACAATAAACCTTGAGCCCTACCCTTTCACCATACACAAAAATCAATTCCAAGTAGATAATAGACTGAAATGTAAATAGTAAAATAGTAAATGGTACAATGACAAAACTTACAGAAAATAAAGCTCAAAGAAAATATAGAATTATCTTCACAAACTTGAAGTAGACAAAGATTAAACAAGACACAAAAGGAATTCCCATTTAAAAATTGATTGATACAGTGCAGGGCCAAAGGCAGGGCCCAGCCTGCCCAGGTCTTAGGTCAGAACTGGTCATCAGTACCTTGAACTTGAGGAAGGCAGGGCCCAGCCTGCCCAGGTCTTAGGTCAGAACTGGTCATCAGTACCTTGAACTTGAGGAAGGCAGGGCCCAGCCTGCCCAGGTCTTAGGTCAGAACTGGTCATCAGTACCTTGAACTTGAGGAAGGCAGGGCCCAGCCTGCCCAGGTCTTAGGTCAGAACTGGTCATCAGTACCTTGAACTTGAGGAAGGCAGGGCCCAGCCTGCCCAGGTCTTAGGTCAGAACTGGTCATCAGTACCTTGAAATTGAGGAAGGTAGCATTTTTTTGTACACATTTCTCCTCAATGCCAATACTCTTTGCTACTTAAGTCCTAAGTGAAAGGAACCTTGAAAAGCTGATCATGTAAACAATATTACCTCTTCAGTTTTACACTCAAAGAGTGCTCAGGATGAACTGTGTATCAGTATTTTCAAGACTCTAGGGCTGGCCAGTTAGCTCACTCAGTAGAGTGCAGTGTTGATAACACCAAGGTCAAGGGTTTGGATCCCCCTACAAGCCAGTCACCAAGGGAAAAAAAAAAAAAAACTCCAATATCCTTTTATCCTGCACAGAAATGCTCAGAGATGACTGACTTTCAAATGAAGAAACCTAAGTACAAACAGTGCCATGAATCATCTACTCCACAGTAGCAAGAGATCTGAAACAGGAACCCACATCAATCCAACATTCTTTCTACTTCAGTAAAGTATCTTTTCCCTGACACAGTACAGGTTATTCATTCCTCTCTATATATCTCTATGCTCTAAACTAATATTTCAGTAACCTGAATATTTTTTCTCCCAGAAAGTACACTTATTTCTGCCAGAAGTAATCTCTCTCTTTTCCGCTTTTAAAAATCCCACGTATTTTTCTAAGACTTAGCTGAAATTCCACTTTCTCCATATAACCTTCCCTGACCAGGCAGCTTGGTGAGTTCTTTTCCACATCTTAATTCACATAGTATCACCATCAATGTATTTCATTTAGCATTAATTAAATGCAGCATTTTGCCAGTTCTGGTTTGCTGTTTTCAACTGCTCTTTATCCCTCCTGTACCTCTGTTGCAAGTCCTTTATTAAATATCCCAGGAGCCTTCTCACTGCCATGGGAGAGCAATAAGCAATCTCCTTTTTCATATGTATTGAGTACAAGCTATGCACTACTCTACAGCTACAGAAAGACACTCTCACTCTCATAAGCTAACAGTTTCATCGGGGACACTCCATGCACACACATTTGAAAAAACACACAGGTCAGAAACTATTTAAAATGAAACAGATGATACAGACGAGAAGTATTCAATGCATGGATTAAAGGAGCATTCGCTGGGCTGAGGAAGAACGCAAGGAGGAGCTGGGACTTGAGATGGTCTTAAAGGATGAGAAGGTAGTCTGAGGAGAGGAGACAAGAAGAAAAAGGGGGAGGAGAAGAGGAAAGAAGAGGAGAATGAGGGAGAGGGGCATATTCCAGATGACCGAAGGCCCAGTGCAGGGATGAACACCCACTGGAGGTGAGAGAATGGGTCAGCCTAGCCTAAGTGAACAGCCCAGATTAGGTAACGATGCGAGGTAAGATTGCAAAATTAAGATGGGAATAGATCACCAGAGGCCTTGAAAATCCTGCTAAAACATCTGGACTTTATCCTGTGAATAGTGAATAATCATTAAAAGTGCATGAACAGAGAAGAGACAGAATAAATATAAGAAACTAGAATATGAAAGGTCATGCCCAGCGAGCTGTCAAATGGGAAAGATTCCAATTCAGCTCCGCCTAGACACAGCCACATGGAATGCATGATTCCTTCCAGTCTAAGTGTGAAAGCCAGGATGTCACACCCAGCTCTAGCCTTCCAGGACAAACAGGACCCATTTGCTAACCAGTTCATACCAATCGACTTTCTTCTTTCTGTTTGTGGCTCTTGCTTTGATCTTCCTCACTCTCCTTCTTCCCATCTAAATATTCTCCAAGTGCTTCCCTGTGATGAAAAAAAAGCAGAGAAATTAAAGTTATTTCTAGCACTTAAACTCTATATTTAAAATTTCTATAGTACTTACACCACATACAAAAATACATTCCATGTGGATAAAAATCTAAATACTGAAAAAAAACCCCACAATCGTAAAAACACTAGAAGTAAATACAGGAGAATGTTCGTATAATCTTAGGGTAGAGAGCCCATCTTTGAATAAGACCAAAGTCAGACAAAGAAAAAGAAAAGATCAAAATCTTTACTTTCTGAAATTTAGAAATTTTATCCTTGAAAGTCAAGGGATAAACTGGTAAAAGATATTGGGCAAAATTTTACTATCTATAAAATAGGCATATATATGCATAGGAAATTTTCTGGAAGGATATACGACAAAAAAGTTAATAGTAATTATTTAAGGACAGGGAATTAAATTACTGAGGACTTCTATTTTCTACATTTTTTTGTATTGTACGAATTTTACAAATAGTGCACGTGTGTGTGTGTGTGTGTGTGTGTGTGTGTGTGTGTGTGTGTGTGTGTGTGTTTAATCAGAAAACAAGACTAGAGAGGCAAGAGAAGGTCCCAGATTATGGACTTCTTCGGAGGAAGATGCAGGGATGACCTCAGCAACTCCCACACCACTTATTTACATCACGGAAGCCCCACGCTCTTCTCTGCACTCAGTGGCCATGAGGGCTACCAGTACTCCATTAGGAAAAACAAAATCATCATCTCATGACTTCAGCATCCATCATGAAACAAGCAGATCTTTGATCTCATTCTTTCCTGACTTTTTCTAACACTGACTTTCATCTCCACTCCCTTCATTCAAAGTCCAGCACAACCCCACACAGTGTTACACCATTTTTGAGATACAGAGTTACCATCCCCCTTTCCCAATCTAACCAAAACCCTTTTTTTTTCCTTGTGATTTCATTCACTTCCCTATTCTTACTGAACCTGCTCTTTGTTTTCTTACTAAGAAAACTAATTGTTCCATTTTACTCAGGTCTTCCGACATAGTCAAGATAATAGTGTTATCACCACCCAAAATGCACTAATTCCCTTGACTTTCTACTTTAACCATCAATTAATTACCAGCTCTGTCTAAATAATACCTTCCAACTACTTCCTGGAGCAAAGATCACGGCTTCGGAAAGAAAAAGAGCCATGCAGAAAAAAACTAAAATTAAAAAAAAAAAAATCTATGCAGCCCAGATCTGCTACAAATTCTTATTTACTAAAATCCAATTGCTGCCTTTTATTCATCATTTTTTACTTTCTAGCACTGTATTGTCCAATATGGTAGCCACTAACCACATGTGCTACTAAGTACTGGAAATGTGGCCAGTCCAAATTAAAATGTGCCATGAGTGTAAAATACACACTAGATGGATTTTGAAGACTTTGAACAAAAAAATGCAATATACCTTATTAATATGATTTTACTGACTGCATATTGAAATGATAATATTGGGTTAAAAAAAATAAATTATTAAATTTAATTTTACCTGTTGTTTTTTTTTTCCTTTTTTAAATTTAAAATTACACATGTGGTTCACATTGTATTTCTATTGTTTGGCGTTGACCTAGCATAGTCGCCAAAGGAGCTGTCTCAGACTTCTCTCTCTCTCAGATTTGAGCTCCTTGGGGGTTGAGTCTTCTTTTGAAAAGCTGCTTCGTCATGATGGCCACAAATGTGGTCTGAGAGCTGCCATCTTCTTGAATACCCCACTTTTTGACCAATCAATTCCTCTCTTAAGATTTGAAAAATTGGAACTTGATTGTTTGCTTGGGTTTAGAGTTCTAGGTTGAAAGTAATTTCTCAGGCTAACCGATTAGCTCAGTTGATTAGAACACAGTATTATAAAACTAAGGTCAAGGGTTGGGATCCCCATACTGGCCAGCTGCCAAAAAAAAGAAAGTAAGTAATTTTCCATTAGTGTTTCC